TAACAGTTTAATATTTAAGTATTCACATAGGTATTATTTTGCATTCTTCGATGATTTTCAGTATTTGTTAATAAAATATTTAAAAAAAAAAATATTGTTAATGATACCAATATAATATTTATTATTTATAATATTATGATAAATTTAAGTATCAACAATACAGGATGCCCCGTGAGAATTTACCCATTGCGGAATCTCCCAAAATAATGGTGATATCGTAATCCTAGTTTTGTAATAAGACTCACAGGAATAAGAACTACAATTTTAATCGTATTGTAATGTTTTAGTATAAAAATTAAAAATATATTTTTTTATTCAACTATTTCCAAAAAGATTGACCATAGCAAATCTGTAGAGTTTATTTTTCTGAAAAAATTGATGTTTGAAAATTTTATTTTTATTAATTTCCTGATTTTTAATTTTTTTTTTAGTTTTGAGAAAAATCGCGTATTATTTAACACTTTAATGTTATCAAACATGTGACCCGCCGCGCCGCGCGCGTTTCCATACGGAGGCCAAATACTTCCCTGTCCCTATTTCCCTAATCATATTTTATTTCTTCAAAACTAGAAAAAATTTAAAAAATCAGGAAATGAATGCAAATTAAATGTTTAAATGTCAATTTTTTCAGAAAAATAAACACTACAAAATAGTTATCATTATTTTTTTTGGAAATAATTTAAAAAAAAAAAAAAACATTATAATAAATTGAAAAATTTAATAATTATAGTCCTTAATCCTTATCCCTGTGAATCTTATTATAAAATCAGAATTTTTATACCTCCATTATTTCGTGAGATATTGCAATGGGTAAATCCTCGCGGGACACCCTATATAGTGATGATGTAGGTAACTTTAATATCCAAATAATTTCTACGTRTCTCAAAAAAATATCACCTTATATAATATATTTTGTAAATTTGAATGGTTAAGTTGTTATAAGGTACCCCTACCGATATTAAAGTTTACAAAAACCATGTAGCCCCAAATGTAATAATAATAATAATAATTTTAATACAACATAATGTTATTATTTAATCTAGGTTGTTGGAAATTACTTACAACACTCTAATATGAAATAATTATTCTTTTAAAATTAACTAAAATTAATTAAACACTAACATTTAAACTTTTTATTTTAATTTTAATTTTATAGCTTCTAGTGTAACTATGATAGCTCTACAATTATCAAAATATAACAAAGACAATTAAGGTATACATTAAAAAAATAATATATTATGAACATTATGATTTAGATGATGATAACGGAGTGCTATATAAATATTTAAACTTAATATTAGGTATTAAAATATATTTTATTATTATTATTATAAAACTAAATAACTTCTACTTTTTCCAAATGTTTACAAGGTACACACATTTTTTTTTTTTTAAATAACTATAAAATCGTATAAATTGATCTTAATTAAAACAATTTTTCGTACATTTCAATAATCTGCTGATTTATGACGGGTAAAAATGTTTTCGTGATCAATTATA